GTGGAATCTAATGAACAAACTGACCTAACAAGCAAAATAGAAACAGATTCATAGAGAGAGAGCAGGCTAGTAGCTTGGGGGTCAGGGAGGGGTGAGGTTGGATGGATGGAGGGATTCAGCAAAAAAGAAAAAAGATAAAGAAATCATGGACACGGACAAAAGTGTGGTGACTGTGAGGGTGGGAGGAGAGGAGGACGACACAGGGGTGATAAATGGTGATGGAAAAATATATATTTAAAAAAACACAAAACTGTAACTGGCAATTTCCCTGGACAGCCATTAACATTTACTATCTTACAGCCACTATTTAGCATACAGTGGTTAATTTTATAATATAATCAAAGTTAACATGGAAAATTTTATAGAAACAATGAAATGTAAAAAAAGCCTACTAACAAGAACTGAACTATTATGGTGACTAAATCTACATTCCAACTGCCTTTCCTACCTGTGACTTTGGGATGGGTCACTAACCCATTTCTTCATCTAGAAACTACTGCAGGTACAAATTCCCAATGTACAGTTTATAAGGAAATTGTGAGGAACAAAGTACATGAAATAGACTTGAAGAAGTTTTTAATTCCTCAGGATAAAATTCTTTTAAAAATAAAATATTCAGCCCGACTGGTGTGGCTCAGTGGTTGAGTGTCAACCTATGAACCAGAAGGTCACGGTCAATTCCCCGTCAGAACACATGCCCAGGTTGCAGGTTCGATCCCCAGCAGGGGTCGTGCAGGAGGCAGCTGATCAATGATTCTCTCATCATTGATGTTTCTATTGCTCTCTCCCTCACCCTTTCAATAAAAAAATATATAAATTTTTTAAATATTCAAAATAATGAAAAGCAACTAATAGAATTTTGAGAAGCATTAGGATAAGTTCACTAGGAAAATGAAAAATCTACTACCAAATTGCATTTACTTACAAATTATGACTTTTTCTAAAATAAATTTGGATAAGCTAAACCTTATTGTCTTTAAGATATTCTTCCCAATATTCACATTCCAGCCATCTTTCTTAAAGACAAAATACACCCACAAAACCATACAAAAATGTACTGCTTTTAAAAACAGGTTAAAGAATGCTTTATGTACAGATGTTTGGAGGCAATGGGACCATGTAGTCAAATAACTGAAAAACACTTTTAATCCCATCCCTACTAAGTCATTAATCTAACAGTTACAATAAGACCCTCCAGGGAGCAGATTTCCCATTTCATCACTTAAGGTCACGGCCTGCTTCCTACCTCTCTTCTTTTTTACCACTTGACACTAGAATGGAAAGCAGTAGGAAGGCAGCTCATGTAATTGGCCCATTTCCAGGCTGGAGAAATCTGATGATAAATTAATGAAGAGAAAGCTGGTGAGAGAAACTGCTCCAGTTCACTGCTCTCATACAAAAAAGTTACTTGAAAATCACATTGAGTCTAAAGCTAACCTGCATTCTGCACTTGATATTTCCTTAGATATATTTTTCTTCCAATTTTAGAAACTCTGAAAGAAATATGCCATGTGAACACATTCTGCACCCAACTTTAGTTTACACTGTTTCATTAGTCCCACAACTTCAACATAGAAATGAATTTTAAAAGCTTTAAGAAAGGAAACTTTGGAGGCTGCTATCCAAGCAAGAAGACAAATACAGAATGAACAGCTGACTGTTGGTGTGGACTTCTGGTTAAACTAAAACTCAGAGAACCAAGTGACCCTAATGAATTAAGAAGAGCCCTAACCGGTTTGGCTCAGTGGATAGAGCGTCGGCCTCCGGACTGAAGTGTCCCAGGTTCGACTCCAGTCAAGGCATGTACCTTGGTTGCGGGCACATCCCCAGTTGGGGGCATGCAGGAGGCAGCTGATTGATGTTTCTCTCTCATCGATGTTTCTAACTCTCTATCCCTCTCCCTTCCTCTCTGTAAAAAATAAATAAAAATATATATAAAAACAAGAAAAAAAGAAAATGCATAGAAGTTTGAAGAAATGTTATATCCTACTAGAGGCCTGATGCACAAAATTTGTGCAAGAGTAGGCCTTCCTTCCCCCGGCTGCCAGCACCAGCTTCCCTCAGGCACCCGGGACCCAGGCTTCCCTCCAGCCTCTGGCAGGCACCCAGGACCTGGGCTTCCCTCCAGCCACCAGCAGGCACCTGGGACCCGGGCTTCCCTCGCAGCCCTGGCTTCGCCTGGAAAGTCATCTGGAAGGACGTCCAGTCTAATTAGCATATTACACTTTTATTATTATAGATTCTTCTGCCTCCATGAACAATTTAGTAGGAAGCCACAATAGGGCTTGTGAGAAATCTCTGAAATGATTTGTTAGCTGGCCTGAATTTTCAAGATTGAGACATAATCTATGACAACAGAAGCCGACTTGCAAAAGTCGTTGAGTACATGTGGTCTGGGTGGGTCCAAGGTACTTCTGTGGCAGAGGTGTTTACAATGCTATTATTCAACACTAGAGGCCCAATGCACAAAATTCATGCAAGGGGCTCGGCCCTCCCAGCTCCCCCAGCTGCCTCATAGCCCCACCACCCCCTCCCACTGGTCGTTCAGGAAGGTCGTTCCACCGGCCGGTCTAATTAGCATATTAGAGCTTTATTATATAGGACTAGAGTCCCACTGCACGAAATTCATGCACGGGGGTGGGTGTCCCTCAGCCTGGCCTGCACCCTTTCCAATCTGGGACCCCTCAGGGGATGTCTGAAACTGGCAGTCGGACATCCCTCTTGCAATCCCGGGACCGCTGGCTCCTAACCACTCACCTGCCTGCCAGCCTGATAAACCCCAACTGCCCCCCCTTCTGTCCTGATCACCCCTAACCACCCCTGCCTCAGCCCCGCCACCATGGCTTTGCCCAGAAGGAAGTCTGGAAGATCTCCCGGAAGGTCTCCTAGTCTAATTAGCATATTACCCTTTTATTAGTATAGATTGGTAGACTCTACCAAGTAAAATGCTCTACACACCTTAAGACAGCTACTTTAATAAAGCTGAGCCTGATATGGGGAGTACTAACAGAAACATGGCTATGCCGGTTTTCCTGACTTAAAAACCATGTTAAAAATATCTTATGGCACCCAGAGACTTGTAAAAGTATGCTTGAAGCAGCTCTATTCAAAACAACAAGATCTATTAACAGTGGAATGGACAATAGTGCTGTTCTTGTACCTAGAACACTCTAGAGTTGAGCTGTCCAATAAGGTAGTCACTAGCCACATGTGGCTATTGAGAATTTGCAATGTGACTATAGTGTGATTTAAGATGTGCTGAAAGTGTAAAACAGACATCAGATTTCAAAGACTTAATATGAAAAAAAGGGTAAAATATATCAATATTTATGTTGAATTTATACTTATGAATATTGTGATATTAATATGAAGATGTTGAATCAATATTTTGGATATACTGAGATAAATAAAACCCATATTAAAAATTAATTTTACTTGTTTATTTTTATTTTTTTTAATGTGTCCTCATCCCCCCATTAACCCCCAACTTCCCCCCCCCCACTCATGCTCTCATCCCCCTGTTGTCCTTGTCCATTGGTTTGGCTTATATGCATGCATACAAGTCCTTTAGTTGATCTCTTCCCCTTACCCCCACCCTCCCCTACTTTCCCTCTGGGGATTGATAGTCTGATCGCTGTTTCTCTGTCTTTGGATACTTGTTTAGTTTTAAATGGGGCTACTAGAATAGTTCAAATTACACATGTGGCTCTTATGTTTCTAATGGACAGTGCTGAGAGTGGCCTATTTGTTGGCCTGGGTGTTGGTTTGCTTTGTTAATCTGCAATTTATATTTTATGCACTTTTCTGTGTGTTATATCTCACAATTTAAAGTTTTTAAGAAATGATCTCCAACTGCTTTCCTTAAACATTTATATTTGCTATATATCAAGTAATGACTCTGAAGAAAACCTAAAACAATAGGGTTGAGTGACTGGCCCTGTATCTCAAATCAATACAACTAAAGAAATGTAAAAATGTTAGGCCCCTAAACTGCTTACTCAAGACCGTCACAGTCTTCAACATGTTTTTTTAAAACTTTCAGAAATTATGTTTAAATGTTTTAAAAGCACAGCAACCTATAATTTAACAGTATTATTTATCCTATCCTAATGTAGTATATATGAAATAGGTGATGTGTCTATTTGTGAAAAGTTGTGCATATATTCTTGTGAGTCAACGTATTTGCAATGCACAAAATAAATAGTTGGTAAATGTGTTTACAAATAAATGAAATCACATGTTCAATGTACGAAAGAAAACCTTTTGGAGATATCTTATTCATGATAGCCATATCCTAATCTCTCTATAAACAAGTTGTAATATTTTTCTAAAAATAATTTATTTTCTTACTTTGAGGCATTCTGTCACAAAATTTCTGCCTTGGAAAATAAATTTTTAAAGAAAACAGAAAAAAAATTCTGAGCATGCACAAGTCAGTTTACTGATAATAGTTGACATGGGTAAATAAAATGGTTAAATAAGTGTTTTCCACAACTAATATCTAGTATTTGATGAAATTTTACCAAATATAAAAGCCAAGCTTTAACAAATGAAATATTTTTCTAAGCATAAAAGGATATGTGGTAGCTAGTAGAATGCACAAAACTGAATTGTTTTAAAATGCAAAACAAACTTAGGCCCAGCCAGCGTGGCTCAGTGGTTGAACGTTGGCCTATGGTCACGGTTCGATTCCTGGTCAGGGCACATGCCTGGGTTGTGGGCTCAACCCCCAGTGGGGGGGGGGGGGAGGGGGAGGGCGGCACACAGGAGGCAGCTGATCAATGATTCTCTCTCATCATTGGTGTTTCTATCTCTCCCTCTCTGAAATCAATAATAAATATATAAAGCGTGCACGCACACACACACTTACAATTCTCTCAGCTATCTAATAAGAGCAATGCTGATGATCTAACTCACATTTAATTCATTTTTATGAAGAATTGAACTTATAAACAAAACAGAGTCCAGAAGAAATCTATAGAACGAATATCTATACTCACCATGAACTTGGTTAATTTCTGAATTCTGGGATAGAATTTCATCTGCTAATTTCTGAGCAGTTGGCAAAACTTCTGTGTGGTGCACTGTGATCAAATACTGTACAAACTTTTGTAGTTGGTCTCTATTCATTTGAAAGAGAGTTTCTGAAATGGGAAGATGTAATTTGACCTGATCTGGCTTGCGAATGCGGTATAAAGACAGTGCCACAACATGGGCACAATAAAATATGTCCTTGTTTCCACAGCTGCAGGTCACTGAGGTAATCTTGCAACGATCAAAGCTGATGGCCACGTTGCAAACAGTTTCTGGCTCCGATTGTATTGCAGGTTCTGTTACTGTGCCACTCAAGTGGAAACCTAAATGAAAGAAAGGGAGGAGAGACTTTAGCTTCTGCATTCAAATGCTATGAAATGTTCTAATTCTTTGAAATGTGTAGTACTTCATGGCAGCAAGAAACAAACATGACAGCTTTTATTTTCAAGTAAATACATTCAGGCCACTCAAACCCCACCCTACACCTACTCCCACATCTTAAAGGTAAAAAATAAATGGTATTCAACAGACATCTGAAATATTTTACAGAGCCATATGAAAGCACTTATCGAATATACCACTATAATTCCTTTAGAAAATAGATTACAGAACTAATAAGCCATCATTACTCTACTCCGAATCTGTGGAATACTGGATAAAAATTCCCTAGATCAGTGGTGTTCTTCCTTTTTAACTTTTTAAAGTAGAGTAGACCAGCTCAGCTTTCTTCTCAACAAATTCCTCCTTTCCCTCCATCTTTATTCTAGGCCAGCCGTGGGCAACTACGGCCCGCGGGCCGGATCCGGCCTGTTTGAAATGAATAAAACTAAAAAAAAAAAAAAGACCGTACCCTTTTATGTAATGATGTTTACTTTGAATTTATATTAGTTCACACAAACACTCCATCCATGCTTTTGTTCTGGCCCTCCGGACCAGTTTAAGAACCCATTGTGGCCCTCGAGTCAAAAAGTTTGCCCACCCCTGTCTAGGCAGTCACTAGTCTCCTTCAACCAACTCTGTAACTCTGAGGAGGCTCCCTTTCACAGTGACCAGAAAAAAAGTTTTAATTAATAATCCTTTCTATAGCATGCATACATATCCCCCAATATAGCAATATGAGTGTCTGCTGATAGAACTGCAAAGCCCAACAAATCTCATGCATACCATACCTAAGTAGCTAATAACGACTATTTTCTTTCACATTATAGAGTTAAAGCTGGTACAGAAGTTGTTAAATACTCATGCTTGAGTGCACGCGCGCGCGCACACACACACACACACACACACACACACACAGGCATAAAAAATCACCAAGTGGCAAGGGGCCTTAGAGGCCTTGTATCTTAAACTTAAAACCACACAGGAATCCTCCACAATCTCCCAGACCGACAGCCACGTGGACACTGCTAATAATGGTCCAGAGATGAGACATTCACCCCACACAGGCAACAATTCCCCCTTGGAGAGCCGTAGCTACAGCTTACAGTCAACTAAAAACTGCCTTCCATCACCACTGTCACCTGTCAGTCCTGGCCTGTTTGGCCAGGGGACAATTCCTCCTCATGCCTCTTCCCTTACTGTGTTTGGAAGGTTATCCTAAATTTTATTTTGTACAGCCAATTAGTTCCATCTTCCCTCCCTGAAAGCCACATTCAGAGGCCAGGGATAAACCTTAGCGGTATGGGATCCCTTTAGGAACTCCAGGTCACATTACCTAAGGAATCAAGTGCCTGGCAGAAACTTGAAGTTACAAAATAAAGCCCTTGCTCGCTCTCAGCCTTCCACTACCTATACTACTTGAATAAAATCCGAGCCTGCCACCATTTCTTTAGATTCCCCTTCATTCACAAAGGTTCTTCACCATGTGGGAACTCTGGGGAGCTGCAGAGATGTGACATGAGAATGGTGGCCAGATGACCCCTAGAGTTTAATTAGAGGCATCTGAACCCCGCTTACTGTCTTCTTCAAGGAAGGGTAATTAAGCCAGAGAGTTGGAATAAACCCTATTCAACTACAAGAAATCTTTCAGAGTAATGTAATTTGACCTTATCAGTCATATTCAGCAACACTTAGTGGAAAGAGAAAAGTGCCATAATAATTCTTACCAAATTAATCAACTTAAAAAGTATTTTCTAAAAAGAAGTTACTATTATTGCTTCACAATAAGAAATTTTGAGAATTGTAATATGAAAGATAATCTTTAGTTTTCTTTCAGAGATTATCCATTTTGGTTTTCTTCCACAGAGTTTCAGAATGGATATTCCAGTCTCCTTTATCTCTTTTAGTCAAGAAGTTTTTTGGAAAACCATAATTAAAGAAAAGATACAAAGTAAATCCAATCATATTTTTAAAAAATTTTAATGTATTTTCCCATGAGGAAAAAGTCACTACAAAGTAAATACCCATGAACATTTCAAAAACGAATAAGGGCAGTCTTGCCTTATTATATACTTAGAGGCCCAATGCACAAAATTCATGCAAGAGTAGGCCTTCCTTCCCCCGGCTGCCGGCACCGGGGACCTGGGCTTCCCTACAGCCGCTGGCAGGCACCTGGGACCCGGGTTTCCCTCACAGCCCCAGCTTCGTCCGGAAGGCCGTCTGGAAGGAGATCCAGAAGGACATCCAGTCTAATTAGCATATTACACTTTTATTATTATAGACTAGAGGCCCGGTGCACAAAAATTTGTGCACTCGGGGGGTAGGGGGGTCCCCCAGCCCGGCCTGTGCCCTCTCGCAGTCTGGGACCCCTCGGGAGATAACGACCTGCTGGCTTAGGCCTGCTCCCGGGTGGCAGAGGGCACGCCCAATCCCTAGGTGCAGCCCCTGGTCAGGCTCAGAGCAGGGCCGATTGGGGAGTTGGGGCGCCGCCCCCTGTCATGCACAGAGCAGGGCGGATTGGGAGGTTGCGATGCCACCCTCAGTCACGCTCAGGGTAGGGCCGATTGGGGGGTTGGG